AAAAGAGACATAAACATATATTTACATACATAGATATATAAACATATGCTCACCATTTTATGTATATATTTGTGTACATATATTGCTACATATTAGACACATACATATATATATATATATATATATATATATATATATATAGTAAAAGGTAAATGAAAAGAAAAAAATAAATGGTAAAGCAACAATACTTTATTTAAAATCAGTAGATGCCATGTTGTATCTCCCCAGAGAAATTTATTTTAGTTTTTATGTGTATGTATCTAAGTTTTGTTCAGTTTAATTTTTTTTCATAGTACCACAGATAAAAACGAGTGAATTTTAAATTCTGCTGAAGATTTTTGAAATAACAGCAAAAATAATTCCTATTTCAGCTTCATTTTTTTTCTTCCTTTTCCAAGTTTTGAGTTACAAAAACAAATTTAAAAAAAGGAAACTTGAAATAATGAAATAAAAAGCAAACAAATATTTTCAATATTGCATACAGAAAAATATAAAAAGAAACATTGTGGCTATTATTACAAAGGCTGTTCGTTTTCATTTTTCAGATTTAATCTACATTGTATGGATTTTTATATTTATTGCCAGTAAACGAGAAGACGAAACAAAATGGAAAGAATCTGGTTCATTATGCTGGCGATGATGATTGTCCTGCTGTCTCTTGCAGATTTAGGTTTGAGTGTGGACCTAACCTATTATGTTGAGGAAGGCAAAAGCCCTGGTACTTATATTGGTGACATTGCAACTGACTCCCATATTTTTGACAGTATTCCCTCAAGTGTTCCCAGTTTAATAAGATTCAGTCAACTAGAACAGAGCGTAACAGACAGTTCTCAGTTATTCCGTGTCTCAAAAAAAACTGGGAAACTGTACACAACCCAAACATTGGATGCTGAAGTTCTCTGTAAACATAACATTGAGTGCTATAAGATTGTGAAAGTGGCAGTCCGTCGAGATAAAACCTTTATGAAGATATTAAAAATCAAAGTAGTAATTCAAGATGTCAATGATCACCAACCAGAATTCCCTGAACAAAAAGTCAATATAGCGTTTGAAGAAGATTACAGAAAAGGAGTGAAGAAATCAATTCCATATGCTATTGACAAGGATGCAGGGATCCTCAATTCACAAGTTACATACCAGCTGAAAAAGAATATCAACGATCCATTTACACTGTCTGTTTTCAAGAGTGTTGATGGTTTGTCAGATCTTAATATTGTATTGGAGGACATGCTTGACAGGGAAGTGAAGGACTCCTATATGATTCAAGTGATTGCCACAGATGGGGGTTCACCACCCAAGCAAAGTGTTTTAGACATCCACATATCTGTTATAGATGTGAATGATAACACCCCAGTCTTCTCACAGAATGTTTACAATGTTTCTATTAATAATGAACATGATAAGAGCACACCTATTGTTATTTTGTCTGCAACAGATTTAGATTCCGGAAAAAATGGTAAGATTTCTTACCACCTCAGTTCCAGGACATCAGAACTTTCCAAAGACCACTTTAGCATAGAAGAAGGGTCAGGAGAGATTTTTATACTTAAAACATTCCCCATGGGAAAAAGTCAGTCATTTGAATTATTTGTCAAAGCCACCGATGAAGGCAACCCTCCCCTGAGTTCCATTGCAAAAGTTCTTGTCAATGTGATTAACCAACAAAATAATGTCCCAATAATAGATGTGAACTTCCTTTCTCCATCTGCTGATAACATGCCAGCCATTTCAGAGGATGTGGAAGTTGGCAGTTTCATAGCTTATGTAATGGTCACTGACCTTGATTTTGGACAAAATGGTGATGTCACCTGTGATCTTATACATGATAAGTTTCAATTGCAGAGTCTGGGTCCAAAAGAATACAAAATAACAGTAATTAATCCAGTGGACCGGGAAACAGAGGACCGTTATGAGATCACCATCAGCTGCCAGGACAATGGTTCGCCACCACTGCACAGTGAAAAAAGGTTCTCAATAAATGTGATAGATGTAAATGATGTCCGACCCCAATTTATCAAAGACACTTTCAAATTCTGGATTTATGAGAACCAAGAATCCCAATTTCCTGTCGGTTCAATTAATGCTACAGACCCTGATCATGGTCCTGGTGGTAAACTAAGATACACACTACTGACCAATAGTAAGCATTTTCTACCATTTCGAATTACGAATGATGGCTTAATATCAACACTGATATCATTGGACCATGAGTTTCAAGATGTGTATAATTTTAAAGTTTTTGTCAAGGATTTAGGTGTCCCATCATTAAACAACACAGCTAACATCATTGTGGAAGTCAGAGATGAAAATGATAATGCACCTCATTTTACATTTCCTAGTGTTAGTCCATTCTCTCTTAATGTCTTCTATTATCCACGCCACACAAACAACATCACGGTATTGCGTGCCTCTGACAGTGACAGTCGAGAAAATGCCTTCCTCAAATATGAAATAACTTCAGGCAATGACAAACAGCTATTTAGTATCAACCATTACACAGGTCTATTGTCTTTCACCCGGGTTGTAACACCTGAAGATGCTGGGTCCTATGAGCTTGGGTTTGTTGTTAAGGATAGTGGCACTCCGGCTTTGTCTGCAACAACTACTCTCTCTCTGATGTTGACCGTAACAAACCAGACTTCAGAAGTTTCAAACACCATCCAGTCACAGTCTGACGAGAAGGTGCACCAGCAATTATTTATCATTATTGTGTTAATAGCCGTGGCGGTGTCTGTTCCAATTACGGCTGCCATGTCAATATGCATTATTCGTTGTAATGGCCGAAGAAATGCATCTCACCAAGACAGCCTGAACCCACCTTGCAAATGTGTCACAGAACATGGAAATTACATGTGTCCATCTCAACAGCCAAGGTATTGGCCTGATGATGTGGCTCAGTCAGCTGACCCTGAGCTCACCAGAAGTCTAACAAGGAGATCAAAAAGAGAGCTACACCAGGGAGGAGAGCAGGGTAATGGACAGAAAACTGCAGATGGCATGTATCAGGTGAGTGGAAACATTTATTTCATTTTCTTTCCACTTTGCGTTGTCTCATGTGTTGCTAGTTACATTAGTTGATTAGATTAGCCGGTTAAATGACACATCAACACCAAGCAAGAGATTATCAAACAATATGTCTGGCTTTTAATGGACCGAAGAAGAGAGAGTGCTATTGTTTATTTGCATATGTGTGTCTGTATGTATTGAAGTGCATACACTTATGATGAATATATAAAAAAATGTAATTGTCAAAGCATGAATAAAACTGTCTACTTGCTTAGAAGTTTTTTAATCAGTATCAGCCCATGCAAGGCAGTAAAGCCACTAAGACACAAGGGGTAAAAGGGTGTAGAAGAATTAGGAGCAGAAACATTAATAATGAGTGGGAAGAGAAAAGTGGAATCAGGATTGTAGATAGTGGTTGACATTGCATTTAAATTTTTGCTGATTAAAGTTAGCAGGAAAGCATGGAATCAGAAGGGTGTTCCACAAGAAAGAAGTGTGAGAAAAGAAACTATTAGAATAGAATTTACAGTTAACATCTAGCCAACTCAACTGTAAATTGGTGAGATCTCAATGCCAGTCTAGTACTGCACTTAAATTCAAAAAGTCTTGGTACCATTAATTACTGGCTGGGAAAAATTTTATAAAATTCCCTCCCCTGCAAAAAAAAAACACTGTGAATATAACCAATCATTTGATCAGGGAATCATCAGTTGCCCACTCTGCTGCAATTTCAGGGATTAAAAAAAAAATGAAACATGATTTTTTATTAAAAATTTTATTATGACAAAAAGAAAAAATGCATTTTATGATTAAATTTTGCTCTCATCTAAATATCCTCCTTTAACTTTGATTATTGCAGCACAAATTTTTGGCATTCATTGCAAAAGTTTCTCAAAGTATGATAAAGTTTGATAATTGATTCCATTCTTTCTTCAATGACTCTAAAAGGTCTTTTTCATTTTTTGGATGGAAAGGTTTCACTTTTTCTGTCAGGTTTATCTTATGCTAATTCTGGGGATGGCTTAAAATTTTTGAACTGTAGTATATATATATATATATATATATATATATATGAAAAATTTCTCAAAGTTTACCTGTAGAGAAAGACAATATTTATAAATGTAAAAGACAATAGGAGAACTGTAATAGTTGCCAATGCGTTTTGTCTGATGTGGACTTTTTCAACATAAAACCAAATGAATTTATTAAACAAAGTAACTAATATTAACAGAACAAAATGTCCTTCCAGTTGCTAAGGACATTTTGTTTTGTTATTATTAGTTACTTTGTTTAATAAATTCATTTTGTTTCACCTTGAAAAAGTTCACATCAGATGAAAAAACTATTACAGTTTTCCTATTGTCTTTTTTTATATATATACATATATATATATATATATATATATATATATATATAAATACACGTTCATTTTTTATCTAAATACATAAATATGCTAATATTTTTTTTAATCAATTTATCCCAAGCAAGGTGATAATGCCACTAAGATTCAAGGGGCTACTTGGAGTGAAAGAGAATAAAAAGATATTAGAATGAAATGGAAACCTGATCCTAAACAAGAGATAAACCTTTACTCCTGTTGAAAAGACTGGGCAAGAGTGTGAACCAGACAATCGTCAATCCTATCTACTCCTATTAAGAAATAATAAATAGCAAATAAAATTTCAGAGTTTAGACAAAGATATTGGAATTTGAAGTAGACTTTAGAAAGAACTGAAAACCCAATCATAAACATAAAACAAGGATAAACCTCTAATCCTGTTCAAAAGACCATGGGGTATGTGAACCAAATGATAAGGAAATATATCTACTCCTATTCAGAAAAAATAAATGAAATTTCAGAGTTTAGGTGATGATGTTAGAAGTAACCCTCTACCTCGAGTGGCTCCTGAGCCTTGTATGGGGGAACAATAGTAAAAAAAATAAATAAATAAAATAACTTGAGAATTGCCAACAGCAGCCTTAACTAAAATGAATACAATAATGTGCAGAGGTTTGGTGATGTTTGGTGGTTGTATGCCCCAAAACTCAAGTGGGGAGGGGGAGGTTCTATGGAGCCTCGTACTGAGAAATGTGAGAAAGGAAGACATTTTAAATATGTAAAAAACAAATTAAACATTAAATAAGGACCATCAATTTGGATGTGTACCAGCTGAGCAAATTAAATGCAGAGATCCACCAGAAATGTCCAGCACTTGCTAATTGTAAGAAGTGCATTGTCTTTCATCAGAACAATGCCAAACCACACATTTTTTTTGCAGACATGACAGAAGTTGCTTGGCTGAGAAGAGTGACATGCAAAGGTTTGGTGATGTCTGATGTCAATTCCTTGATTGTATGCCTACAAGACTCAAGTAGGAGGTGGGGCTATGGAGCCTAGTACTGAGAAATGTGAGAAAGGAAGACATTTTAAATATGTAAAAAACAGATGAAACATGAAATAAACACTTTATTCAAATTAAATATAAACTAAATTTTTCAGTCTATATTCCTGAGATGAAGTATTGTAGCTATTTATTCTTTTGTCCACTGAGCCATGTGTCTTGAGGATAAAAGCATTGGCTGAAGTAATCCAGTGACTTGACCCAAAGAGATGTGAGTTCAATATCTGGCCACAGCAGAGGTGAACAAAAACTGTGAGAGTTGAGTTACTAAAGGAAAATAAAGAAAAGGTCTGGCGCATGGAATCTACATACTTTGTCACATTTCTCCATTTTTTTTTCTTTGATTATATATTCCACTAGCAGGTGTACATATGTATGTATATATTTTTCAGGATAGCTTGTACATATGCTGCAAGTGAATATCTGTCATTTTTTCACAATTATTCACCTAATATTAGGCCCAAGAGCAACTCAAAGTAGAGGGTTGCTGAATAGGGTTATTTTCCTGACATAAGAATTGTTGATTATGAGAATATGTAGGATAGATGATGGGTGACTCTAAACTTGAAGAGGTTAGGTTGAGGTTTGTTTCACTCCTGTGTACATAACTTGGCCAAATGTATATTTTGTGTACTAATTTTAACACATACCTTTGTTGTGTAAGTGAAATATTTAAGATCTATATGTCTATTGACCATTGTTATATGGAATGTCAATCATTATCTTCTGTCTTTTTAATTCCTCTTCGTTTATTGTTCTCTCACCTTGATAATGTCTTCCTTTTGGCATATTCTCTCACACTCAGTAACCCATTGTGTCTTAGTAGCTTTATTGCCTTGCTTGGGGTGAAATGATTAAAGAAAAAGGAAACGATATACACAAATATTTGTGTTTGTTTATTTATGTATATTGTCATGTGTCAACGCCCACTGACTTTATATACAATTGTATGCGTCTTTGTGTGTGCATCTTGAGTTGGATGCAGAAAAATGTGCATTATTTTGTATGCATTTTTTAAATGTGCATGTATAGTTAAATATATCATTCAGCTATGTGACTGTAGGTTAATCTGTGTTTAAATACATTTGTGTGCATATATATATATATATATATATATATATATATATATATATATATTATATATAATATATAACCTACCTTGTGTGTGTGTGTATGTATGGTGTATGTATGCCTTTGGTTACATTGAAATTTGAATGTATCTATGCATGTAAGTTTATTTTATGTTCTTCTGCGGTTTAATCATTGTGTCATAGTGTGTGTCTTAATTACACTGTGTAACTTAATTTCAGTGTCTGTTCATGTGTAACCATTTGTATCCATATGAACACCTTGAATTGAATAAGTGTATGCATATGCTGTGCTGTGTGTGAACAGCTCAGCTTTTGAAATGTAATTCTTTAATTTTGTAATTAGCAAATTTTTCTCAATTTCTTAATTCTATTTAATTAAACAACAAACAACAAAAGTGAGACAGAACTGAAGAAGAAAGAAAGAAAGAAAAAAAAAAACCTCTAACAAACGTTTTTGCTTTTCAGCAAGAAATTGACTCCTTGTGTTGTTTTTTATTTAATCGCCTAATTTTCTCCAATGAAATTGGTATGCTTACTACCAAGCAATCACATTTTGTCATCAAGATCTGGCATATGCTAATTCAGCCCGGTCAGAGCAGTCTCCTTGAAGTGTAATCAAGTCTTGAATTATACAAGGCACAATGTCAGTCATGCTGCAAAAAGTAATGGTCAGACATTTGACATCTTCATTTAAATTTGCTGTATTTCCTACCAAACATAAAATCAAAAGTAAAACACTTAACCAGGCATCTTTCGAATGAAATAAATATATGAAAATGTTAATGTTTTCGGAATTCATTTATATGAAGTTGTACAATTGACCTTAAGCAAAAGAAAAAAAATAAAAACATCTTTTTTTAATTTAAAACTTGTATCAGTCATGCTATTGTGGAGAGCTATGACTGCCAACATCCTGAAGGGGCATGGCACATGCAAGAAGATCAGTCATACTGAATTATATAAGGCGACATTTCTGTTTCTGTCTATATTAAATATATGTAAATAGTGGACATTTCTGTTGTTTTTATAAATGAAATTTAGTTCCCTTAAAGAACTAAAACATTATCTGAACACCACACAGACACTAATAAATAAGGGAAGGAAGAATTATACAATATCTTTTGATTGACTGATTGATCTATTTTTTCTACAGCTTACAAACTCTTTGCAGGTTATTTAAAGCCAGAAAATATTTTTAGATCATAAGAATTTTTTTTTTCTTGGACATAATAATTGTTTACTGATAAAAGTCTTAATAATTAACCCATAGCTAGTAGAAGAAGAGATAGATTCATACCTTTCTCAAGGGTATTTTGCGTGTAAGTGAATATAACGAACCCAAGTGGAATTGGAACTTGGCTCTCCTGTTAACAATTCCAAGCCATTATCCATTATTCCACCTGTACATCCAAGTTTACCATACCTGGTATTTCTAAGTGGTCACTTATCTAGATACTGACCAGGGTCGATATCACTTAACTTTGATGATTGTACAGGAACTAATGTT